CCCCAAAACCCCAAAACCCCAAAACCCCAAAACCCCATTTTAAAAGTATCTGACTGAATCATGAAAATAATGATATTTTAGGAGGATCTAGGTCTACTGAGTATGCTCAGAATGGTAGGAAGAGCCCAAGACTTTGGAGACCTTGTTTTCGTACTCTCTTAATAAGCTTCCAGTGTTCTCTCCTCTCAAAATCTATGCAATTTCTGTTAACTAAGAGTTTAGATTGGTACAGTACAAAGTTCCTTTTTTGCATAAGATGTACTCAACAGGATATGATTCTTTAGCTTACCGTTAAATCCCTCGGACTTGTAGTAATAATCTTCCTTTTCGGAGTTCTATTAGGATTAAGTGTATGATTCAAGCTTTGGTTCTCTATTAAAGTCAAATTAGGATCATTAACTAGTTTTTATAAAATCTAATGTATAATATCTAACTGAGCCCATCTATGAACATACCTGCTTTCTTGTATAAAGGATGGCTGATTACTTTCTGTTCTATGCTTGGTTACATTCAAGTTGTGAAAAATCTTACCTTTTTTTTTTACAACTGCAGTATTTTTCTTAAAGAAGTTATTCTCTTTCATTGAGAGTGCAAATCCGGGGCTTTCAATGCCATTTTGTTTCCTAGTACTGTATCCATCATTCATTGACTCTGCCTCTCTAAAAGTTTTATGGAGGAAAGATTACTTAACCTCTTCACTAAGAATCCGAAGATCTCTAAATGTTGTAATATAAGAATACCGTCGATGGCCTTCTTTCCTGTTAGATTCCGAAGGAGCTTTCAGGTTACAATACTCTTTTGTTTCTTCAACAATTGTCTTATGGCCTAGAGAAACATTAGAGGTTTTGCAGTAAATGGATGCTTTACTGATCAAAAGGTAGAATTAGCACCAATCATTATTTGACAATTTTACATAAATCTTGATAAAATTTGTAACTTCCATTTACCATTTTTATGCTCCGAGCAGCTTCTATCTGATAATGTATCGTAATCAGATCTTCTTTGAAGATTTACAGTGTAAGTCTCAATATTCCCAACATGCTTTGGATCATAGTTATGAACATCCTCATCGAAAATTGAGCGGTAAAGCTTCTGGTCAAGATTAGAGCTTCTCAGATTCATGCTCTTCAGGACTTCATTCAAATAAATTTCACTGTTGATTTTCCTATCAGAATCATCTCAGTTTAGCCCTTCTATCAAGCTTGAAGCATCATAATGTTTCTCTTGAACTGGATCCGCCTCTTGGTCAACCTTGACGGTTAGTACATCCAATTTCGAGGGTTTAATCATGCTTTGCTTCTGTATGTCTAAAACTAACTTCTGGTTACGAGTAAGAAGGACTGATATCAATAATTTTAAGTCCCTCATAGCTTTTAGTATCTTTGTAACATCAAGCTCATCAGAAATTCTGTCTGATGCAAGATAGTAGTTCTCCTCATGCTTTGGCAGCTTTGGATTATACTTTGGAAGGAAGAAAGCCAGTCAAGGCTTTACCCACCCGAACAAGAGTAAGAACCAAGTAGCATTTTTGGTGGTGTACTTGAATCTCTGTCTCTTGGAAATTTCTTTTTGAGCATCTTCAAATTCATGGGATTCCTCATCAGCACTAAACTTATCCAAGGTAATTCAGTTGCTATCTTGTCTTCAGGACTTATTATAATCTGTAGATTTGTCGCGATGAGATCCTGGTATGGAGTTGTGCTGGTGAAATCGAGAGTTCTTTGGGTGCACTTTTCTGCTCATTTTACCTCCGCTTTTGTTTGTATCATTATTAGTACCATCATTTTTATCAACAAAATATAAAGTTGATGCTATTGCAGCAGTAGACAACTTCTCAGCTACAAGGAATGTAATAATGGCTCCGCCTAGATGCAAAATTTCGAAGATACCTCCGATTTGTCCAATGAGGTCTCCTATACTGTACACTTTTCGATCAATAATTTTCCTTACTTGATCTGTTCGAATGTAAAATGTAAAGAACTCTTCAGTATTATCCTGCGGAATGAGTGACTCTTTCCCTTTTGTCATCTGAAAGAACTCCTTTGAATCAGGTTCATATAGCTGAAAAAGTGAATCTTGGAAACTCCCTTCATTTTTCTGCAACTCTGCATCTATTTTAAGCCTTAAATTAGAGAAAGTTTCCCAATAAAAAGTATCATCGATATAATATTTGATAGGGTCATTGTAATCATTAAGGTCAACATAGCTATTAGTAATACCGATCTTGATATCTGCTGCAGTTAGAGCCCGATCTATCTCTGCTGCATCCTTACAAGTAACAGAGCCGCTAGCTTGACATTTGTTCATTCTGATTTCAAAGTAATTAAACTGTGGAGAGTAGTAGCTACCTCCAACAGTAAAAGAATTATTAGTGAGGCAATAATAATTAGCTATATTCAAATTATCTTTAGTCTGGTTATCATTTGAATTAAAGTTTCCACCTCATTTTTCATAAGAAATGGCCGTCTTAGTCCTGTCTCTTTGCTCAATGCCAGTTATATTATTCTTCAAATAGACTTGCTCAACTTGGTTTACTTTGACATCAACATAGCCTCCTTGCTGGATGAGGTCAACTCCATCCTTTTCAAGGATGAAAGATAGCTAAAGCAATTAAAAATGGTTTCAAGCAGAGAAAGAATTACCTGAATTTTTGGGAAAGGAGTATGTATCTTGTAGTCATTCGTTCTATCAATGAAAAACTCCTTCACTGAAATATTAGTGTCACCCTTTCTTAGCATCATGGTTGTCTGCAATGAACCGTAGATCAAAATAGCAATTGCTAGCATTTGAATTTTATAAATATTGAACTAAGTCAACTTCTAATTTTTATGGCGGGGTTTTGGGGTTTTGGGGTTTTGGGG